CGCCCTCCACCGCCTGGCCGCCCCGGGCGAGATGCAGGCGGCTGTGCCCCCCCTGCGGGAGCTGCAGCTCGAGCACCGGCGCCTCCTGCCGCCCGCCCCCCTCCTGCGCTTCCGAGGCCTGGCCACTTTCCAGGGCCGTGTGCTGTACGCTGACCCCGGGCCCAGCCCTGAGCTGGTCGGGCTGGCCCACACCCTGGAGCGGGGATTTGCCAGGAAAGGGCTGAGTGTGGTCAAGCTTCCGAGGCCTGGCCACTTTCCAGGGCCGTGTGCTGTACGCTGACCCCGGGCCCAGCCCTGAGCTGGTCGGGCTGGCCCACACCCTGGAGCGGGGATTTGCCAGGAAAGGGCTGAGTGTGGTCAAGCTACAGGGCCACGACTGCTTCCACCTCACCGTGGCCAAGATCCCGGCGGGCAGGAAGCCGCGGCCGAGCCTGCCCCTGGAGCTGCCTCCTGCCGAGAAGCTGGGGACCCAGGCGGTGGAGTCGCTGTGTCTGTGCCAGGTGGGCAGGGGCAGACGGACAGACGGGTTCTACTGCACCCTGGTGGAGCTGGATCTGTACTGAGGGGTGCCCCACACCCCTTGCCACACCAGAGCTGGGCTCTTCTACCTCTAAGCCTCCCCAAACTTAGGGGGAACCCAAGGGAAATTCTGGCCTCCTCCCGTCAGGTGGGAGCCAGGCCTCTGGATTCTACTCCACTGCAGGGAAAAGAGAGGAGTCTACTCCTTCTAGGGGGGCAGTAGAGTTGAGTGGTTAGAGAAGGGGGACAGGGAGCCAGGACTCCTGGCTTTCCTAAACCTAAGCTCCCCATTTCACCTTGCCCATGACCTCCTCCCCCCAGGCAGCAGCCTCTGGGGAGCGAGTTCCGGGCAGGATGCAGGGTGTGACTCATGGGATAAGCTGCCAGGGGTGGGCCCTGCCTCTGGGCTGTGAGGCCCAAGCTCCTGCCAGCAGAAGGTAGAGTCCAGCTCAGGTCTGCTCCCCCAGCCCGGCAGGTTTGCACAATGCGCAGAAGGTAGAGTCCAGCTCAGGTCTGCTCCCCCCTCCCAGCAGGTTTGCACAATGCAATTCTCCCCTCCCCTTGGGATACTGGTTTGTTGTTCAGCAATTGTGTCTCCTCCGTTCTCACTTTTATACCCACCTGGCAGCAGCCAGGGCAACTCAATACCAAATAAATACGGCGCGCGGGCAGGTTTCTCTCTGCCTCTGTGGCCTGGAACGTGCTTTGTCTTGTGTGCACACGGGCAAACTGGCACCTACGGGCTGGTCCCAATAACAAGTTAACCCTTTCCGCCCTCTTGCTAAGGATGCAGGCAGGGAGATACGCAGTTTGCTGGTACTAACAGAGGACTAGACAGTAAGAGCTGCTCTAGCTCAGACAGGAATTAATTCACGGCAGAGGCGGCCTTCTAGAGTTGACTTCAAGATGACTGACAGAGCGAGAAGTAGCCAGACTATCAACCAGAGTTTTATTTAATGTGCTTAGTGGGAATAAATAAAAAACTAACTCTGCCAGCTGCCCATCTCCGGGGAGCAGGGAAGAAGAGTCTTCTAGGACTGCTTTGGGTCTATAGCGGATGTCAAGACTGAAAATTTGGCTACATCTACACTACCAAGTTCTCAGCAAAACAAAATGCTAATGAGGGACTCATTTGCATGAGTCAATCTCATTTGCATATTGTATGCAGATCCAGTTTTGCCCAAAAACAAGAAGTGGGGCTTTTATCTTTTTGCACAAAAAGAAAACGTCCACGCTGCTTGTTTGTGCAAAAACAGATTGGCAGAAAAGATGCAAATGAGATTGTGACTCATGCAAATGAGTCCCTCAGTGTATTTTTTGCTGAGAACTTGTAGTGTAGACATAGTCAAAGAGATCAGCAGGATCCTTGTGTCAGTGTGATCACACTGTTGCTCTCAGGAGTAAGTAGAATAGGGAGTGTGTTTATAAAGAAATTATAATGAACACATTACAAGTTTGTACTAATAGACGCTTTGAATTAGGAATTAGATTGATACCTTCATTGTGTCCCTTTTCCCATGTGTGAAATGACTGTGTAGCTCCCAGGGAGGGGGGAGTGAATGGAATGTGAGAGAACACAACTTGGAGGCCCAACAGTTTCAGGGCCCGGACAGTGGAAGAGGGGAGGCAGCTGGAAGACTCAGAGGCGTCACAGTTCCATAAATTGGGCCCAATACAAAGCAGACCGACAGAGGCCACACAGACGGCCTTGGAGTGTTAAGAAACAAGCTCTGTTACAAACAAGACAGCCTTGAAATAACACTGGGAAGGACACACCAACATACAAATGTCAGAGTAAAGAATAACTCCCAGATAACCAGATATTGAGCGGAATGGACGATGATTAAGAGCTGACAAAGCAAAACGCATAGACCCGAACGGGAGAAAAGTCCTATAAACGATGAGAGCATCCTGAACAAATCTCCGGGTCCCGTCAACTTCGGAGAGTGGGTCCGGACCTAGAGAAGCCCCCGTTCCTCCCTCTCGCATGTAACTTGCCTGGCCTGTAAGATGTGAGCAACAGACTGGTAACCTTAAGCAATGACGAAGACTGTGTGTGTGTGGGGGGGGGGCTTGTCTTTATAAAGCATATGCCGCATTTCTACTGTATTCTCAGTAAATGTGGCGTGTTGCCTTTTCCCTGGAAAAAGATCATGTGGGCTTCTTATAACAAGACACCTAATGATGCGGCAAATTGAGCAGAATTCACCGACCAAGCTTAGCACACAGAGGGTTGAGCAAGTCGGGCACCTGGAACCACTTTGTGCCATGTTAGGTACCGCACCTCAAATGCCTTTGGAAATACGGTCCCAAGCATTTTGTCAAGGTTACTGTCCAAAGTCCCACAAGCGTCCCCCCAATCCATCCTCAGGAAACAAAGCCAGCAAGAGGCATTTCTGTCTGTGTTTGTCGTTTTTATTAATTTTCAATTTTGAGAAAAATACTCCTCAAAAAAGGAAGTTTCTGGAAAGAAAAAAAAAAGCGTTTGAAATCCAGCAATTCATGCTGCCAAGTGCACATCAGAAAGTTACATATGTCCAACAAAAGAAAGGAAGGGGGAAGGCTCGGAAGGAGAATGAGATGCTAGAGAGACTATAGGAAGAAAGGAAAATAAAAAAAAAGACAAACGGAGAATGAGGAAAGGGGAGGGAATGGATCATTACCAAGTTACCTGTAAAGAAACTGAGGAAAGGCAAAAAATAAATAAAAATCAACTAAACTGAGCATAGACAAAAAAAACTCCAGGACACAGAAACGGTGAAACTTAGACGTGATCAGAAGATTTGCTGGTGACTGGTTGAATCCATTATTGGAAGGACGACCAATTCCTGGCAGCCATGTTGTCTGCATCACCCCACTTTTCACTCTCTCTGCCTTTGGTTCCCCAATTCTTACAAAGTCTTTAAGCAACAGTCTCTGAGGTGGGGTGCTGGCCGATTGCGGCTCGCTCTTTCAAATTTCATTCTCCTCCACTGCTGTTTCAGCTCTTTTTGTTTGTTTTCTCTTTTTTGCCCAGATGTGCCTTTGGGGGTTTTTTGGCGCTCTTTCGAAGGCTGGCCAAAAAGCTCAGAAGCGGGGAGAAAAGAGAAAGAGAAAACTGAGACAACGTTAGTTTCAGATCAAGGTGGAAATATACACAACATCCAACAAAGGATCTACTCTTTAAAAAAAAAATTTCAACAAAAGAAAAAGTCACAACCCGACCTGCTGAAGTTTAGAATTAAAAAAAGTAGAAAAGATACTTTACAAAATACAATGAATTTCTCTCCTTATTTACATTATAGAAGGGGGCGGGGGAGTTTCCTGTACAGCATATCCTGAATATATACAGAGAAATCTCATTTCCAAGAAGAGATCAACATTGCACAGAGGAAAGAGTTTCCTTGGCTTTTAAAGTGCCCAGAGGATCTAGACTACAGCTCTCCCGACCGGCCGACTCTGGACGTTCGCTTCCTTTTGCTAAATCTGTTTAATTAGGCAGCCCAGTGAAGCTGCAGGTTTTTCCTTCCTTCCTGAGGTCACTTCCGATTGCTCCGGGATGTTTCGGACCCGATTCCTCCCGAGACAGTTTGCACGGTTGCGTGGGGGTAGGGGCGGGTCTTCGAACACGCGCGTGCGCAGAGCCGAAGATTGAGGCTGCGCAGGGATGGCGTTCACACCAGGCGAGGGCATTTTGCTGTGGAGGACGGGTCTCCCCGCCTCAGCCCCCCGGAGAACGATCCGCTGGCAAGAGAGACTAAACAAAAGCATTAGGATTGCACGGGCCCCTGCCCGGCACGCTATGGAGAAGCTGTCCAGCAGCCCGGCGCCATTACCCTTTGGCTGCGATTAGAGGGGGTTTGGAGGAGTGGGCTGGGTTAGAAGTTGGCCAGGACTGCTAAGCTCTGCCTGCAGTCAATCTTGGATGCGTCGCTGCTTGTGTACACAAGAGCCAGAGCGGCCAGGAAGAGCTGGCACTCCTCGGCCGTCTCGAAGGCCAGCTCTGACTGAACGTAGGAGACGGGGAGCCCATTACCCTTTGGCTGCGATTAGAGGGGGTTTGGAGGAGTGGGCTGGGTTAGAAGTTGGCCAGGACTGCTAAGCTCTGCCTGCAGTCAATCTTGGATGCGTCGCTGCTTGTGTACACAAGAGCCAGAGCGGCCAGGAAGAGCTGGCACTCCTCGGCCGTCTCGAAGGCCAGCTCTGACTGAACGTAGGAGACGGGGAGCACCGGGCGGAAACTGAAGGAAACAAAATGAAACAAATAAACAAAACCCACCACAGAACGGGGGGAAAGTGCAACGGGAGGCAGTTTGGGACAAGCACAAATTCAAGAGCCACTTTCCGGACCTCAGCGGAGGGGGAGGTCGGGGGGGAGAGGAAGAGAAGTAGCCAGTGCAACCTCCACCCCAGATCTGCCCCCAAGCGGCCTGCCCCCTCAGATCTACATTCCAAACCACTAACCTCCCCACAAGTGGCCTTCTCCTCTAGATCTGCCCCTCACCCAACACCCTGCCCGCCCGGTCCACCCCCACGTGGCCTGTCCCCTCTCTCAATATCTGCCCCACTAGATCTGCCTTCCATGCCTCCCCCAAGCAGCCTGCCCCACTAGATCTGACCCCTATAATGCCCCTCCTGGACCTGACCCTCAAGTAGCCTGCATGCGCACTAACATAAGAGCGGCCAGACTGGGTCAGACCAACAGTCCATCCAGCCCGGTGTCCTGTCTGCCCACAGTGGCCAGTGCCAGATGCCCCAGAGAGGGAACACAACAGGGAATCCTCACATGATCCCTCCCGTCACCCACCTCCAGACAAACAGAGGCCAGGGACACCATTCCTGCCACCCTAACTAATAGCCATTGATGGACCTAACCTCCAGGAACCTATCCAGCTCTTTTTTGAACCCTGTTTACGTTCTAACCTTCACCACATCCTCTGGCGAGGAGTTCCACAGGTTGACAATCCCACCCCCAAAGCTCGGATTCCATTCCCTTCCCTTCCCAGATTG